TGGCTATTCACAGGCATGATCATTATGGCTCATAACAGCCTTGAACTCCTGGCCTTCCTGAGTCTCCCAAGTAGCTGGGATTAATAGGCATTCTCCACTGCTTCTGGCTCCAGAAGTCTTCATTTTAATGTACTATCTCAATATTAAAATTTTGGCAACTGCTAATTTAGTTTTAAAATGCTATCAAATTTGCAAACTCATTTATAGAGACTTCTTTGATCATTATGCTTTCCCCCTGCAAATTTAATTGCTCATTCTTTATGTATTTCCATGGTTAATACCCTATGGGGGTTTCAAACTAGCTTTTTAGATAATCTGTACTAGACAGAAAAAAATTATTTTACCCTAGTAGTTTCATGTAAGTTTACTTTTAAAATTATAGAGTTATAAACTGCCTGAGCCTTAATCAATTGAAATTAGAAATCGGTTAGATTACCTCAGGTGAGCCTGTTACAAAATGCTCTATCATGACCTCAAAAGTTACACAACTGATGTCTTGTGTCAGGTTTTGAATAATTCATTTGAAACATCCTAATTTTTATACTGTTAGTGGCCAACCTCTTTGTATTCTTTTTTTTTTTTGAAATATTAATGTACAAGAGTTTCCAGAATAATTAACAGATTATATGGATCTGACTTGAGGCCAGATCAGCCTGGCCAATATGGTAAAACCTCATCACTACTAAAAATACAAACAAACAAAAAAAACATTATTTAAATCTGTATATTTGCCCTGTTCTCATTTAAGCACTAGTTCCTTATTGTCTGCAGTAGAGTTCTATTAGAACTTGGATCTAATGTGTTCACAGTATATGTCCAGTAATAGAAGTATAAGATACATGTAGAATAAATCAGTAGGAATACTATTTGCTTTAATAAGCTGGGTTTTGAAGCTTAAAGGTGTTTCAGATAGAAAAAGAAAAAACCAGGTAGAGTGACCCTCGTATGCTGGTTTAGGGCTTGAGTCTAGGTTGTTGCCAGTGACGAGGTGTTTGTAACCAGCCTCTGGCCTTCCCCGCCCCACTTTAATCCAACTGAAGTATTGCTCACACAGTTACTTTCGTAAAAACAGTTTGATCGTGTTTCTTATCTGTTTGAAAAATGTAAATTGCTTCATGTTGCCAACATACAGACTTCATTTGGCTTGGCATCGGAGCTCTTCAGTTTCCCTCTGCCTCTCAGTTTCTGCAGCCATGTTTTCACACCTTACTGTTCTATGAAAATAGAGTCCCTTACTATTGCTGCCTGCTCCCCATTCACCATTCTCCTCACATGGTCAAATTAGCTTCTCCTTTTCCTTCAGCTCTGTCTGGCCAAATGCTGTGTTTTCTTTCAGACCTAACTTTCTTTTTCATTCCAACAATATGACGGTCTAGACTGTTCTAGTCCAGGAGGATCTCCTTGTCTTAGAAGTTTGCTTATATCTGTTCATACTGGTATGCGGTACTGTCATGTTCTGCGTGGTAAATCTATGGGTGGCTTGTCTCTGTTTCACCTGGAAGACAGTAAACCACTTTTCAAACTTAGTGTCACATACAATGTTTTGTCTAGAATTTTAAAAAATGTGTCCCACAAGTCAATATGTTTTTGTATTTGTAGACCTGAAAAATGTCTGAAAATTCCAGTGACAGTGATTCATCTTGTGGTTGGACAGTCATCAATCATGAGGTATGATATTTAATAATTTTTATAAGGTAATTTGTAAAATTTATATTACCAGTGGTATAAACTGTGTTCTTTGAAGAACATTCTTTTTCTACATTTAAGCAAAAAGTTCCAGTGGACATTTTCCCACTTATGTTAAACTTCACTGCTGAGAACTCTTCATGAGCCAGCATCTTCTACATTATTGTACATAGCTTTGAGACATAAGGGAAGTATTTATTGAGGGTTTATTATTGATCAGACCTCGTGCTTTACTTTCTTTCTTTTTTTTTGTTTTTGTTTTTGAGACAGTGTCTCTCTATGTTGCCCAGGCTGGAGTGCAGTAGCACGATCTCGGCTCACTGCAACCTCCGCCTCCCAAATTCAAGTGCTTCTCCTGCCTCGGCCTCCCTAGTAGCTGGGACTACATACAGGCATGTGCCACCACCCCCGGCTAATTTTTTGTATTTTTAGAAGAGACAGGGTTTCACCATGTTAACCAGGATGGTCTCGATCTCCTGACCTTGTGATCCATGTGCCTCGGCCTCCCAAAGTGCTGGGATTACAGGTGTAAGCTACTGTACCCGGCCTTAACTTTCATTTTCATATAATTTTGTCTCTCTTTTTTTTTTTTTTGAGACAGAGTGTGACTGTGTTGCCCAGGCTGGAGTGCAGTAGTGCGATCTCGGCTCACTGCAACCTCTGCCCCCTGGGTTCAAGCTACCTCAGTCTCCCCAAGTAGCTGAAATTACAGGTACGCACCACCACACCCAACTAATGTTTTGTATTTTTAGTAGAGATGGGGTTTCACGATGTTGGCCATCCTAGTCTTGAACTCCTTGACCTGAAATGATCCGCCCACGTCAGCCTCCCAAAGTGCTGAGATTACAGGCGTGAGCCACTGTGCACAGCCAATTTTGTCTTTTTTTTTTTTTTTTTTTTTTAAAGGGATGGGGTCTTGCTGTATTGCCCAGGCTGGAGTGCAGTGGCTGTTCACATGTGCAGTCATGGTGCAGTGTGTAGTCTTTAACTCCTTGGACTCAAGCAGTCCTCCCACCTCAGCCTCCCAAGTAGCTGGGACTATAGGCACATGCCACCACACCCTGTTCTTATATAATTTTAAACGTTTTACTGTGGCATAGATTGTTTTCATTCTCGTTTTATAGTTGAGAAAATTAAATTAAAGCTTAGAGAGGTTAAGTAATTTGGCCAAGATTATGCAGTTAGAAAATAGATCCTGGATTTGAAGAGATCAGAAAGGAGAATGGAGAGCATGTGTTCCACTTACATTAGCAGAACTTGACATGAAAAAGGCCAGAACTCTAAAACAAAATGAATTTTATAATAAAAGATTGACATAGGTATAACAAGTGTACCTAACTTGTACATTTTATTTTCTCACACCAGTAATATATGTTCACTATAGAAAAATGACAGTATACTGATAAACAGAAATACACTTATTCTAGTTTTTAGTGGACTTATCTATAGTTTTCCCATTTGTTTTTAGGATATTGTAAACCTCACTTGATTTTTTTTTTCTTTTCTTTCTTTTTTTTTTTTTTTCTTATTTCAGTGATTATCCCATGAACCTCACTTGTTTTCTTAATAAAAATTTAAATTTTTAACACAGGAAAAAATGCCAGATACAGGGGACAGGGGGATGGAGGCAGCAAACCACCTTGCCATGTATGTACCTATGCAACAATCCTGCACGATCTGCACATGTACCCCAGAACCTAAAGTACATTAAGAAAAAAAAAAAAAATTTTTTTTTTTAACCATTACTTTGATTAGTTAAGGTTCAGGTAGTTATGTTGTTTAGAAAACATTAACAGAAAAAAAGAAGATTGCCTTTTCTGCATTAAATTTTCAAAATTTAAAAGCAACTATATCATTTGAGATTGAGATGATGATTCTTTTTAAAATCTTCAGTGACTCTTCTATTTTTAACTTGTTTTCTTCAAAGATTAGATCAACTCCCATAGCAACTTCTCCTTCAACGATAATTAACAGTAGAGGAGCAAGGCAGCTATGGGAGTCTTACCTGTGAATCTGCAGGGTGGAATATGACAGCAGACCTCTCTGGCACTTAGTCAAGCATGTCATTAGGGTGTTCTATATTAGACATTATGTCCCAGAGTAAATCATATTTGTACTTTTCTCTCTCTCTTTCTATATCTGCTTTCCAGGTTCTTCTCTTTCTTGCTGTTGTCTCTTACATGTGTCTCCTTTTCCTTTCCCATTACCACCATTCTGATTTGGGCCAGAATTGGCTTTCCCAGCAATTGCTAATCCAACTGTAACCTTGCTTTAGCTTCTGCCATTATACTGCCACTATAGACAGCCTCAGAGTCTTACATTCAGAATTCTCTTTAGGGCTCATCTAAAATGATACTTTTTTCATGAATTCTTTAATTTTTGGCTGTTTTGAGTTACGTATATCAAGAGAATGCAGACCTTTCGATTGTATGTGTCAGCAGACTGTAATGGGGACATAGGGAGAGACAGAATCACCTTAATGGTTAACTTTGTTTTGCTAATTATGACACAAAGAAAAATTGTATGATCCACTATTACTAATGAAAAGATAGTCTGACATCAAAGTAGGAAAGATAATCTCAGAATAAAAAGGTAGTCTAAAATTGTATAAGGAGTGTATTCATTAACCTAATAGGTTTATTTAATCTGTGCCATTAAAGCTTTAAACATTTTAGTTTATATTGCCATAATACGTAGTTATTTGCACATGGCTGTTCTCTGAATATGTTGTAAATTCGAATTTTAGATTTGATTTTTTTTTTTTTTTTTTTTTGAGACAAAGTTTTGCTCTTGTCGTCCAGGCTAGAGTGCAATGGTATAATCTTACTGCAAACTCCACCTCCCAAGTTCAAGCGATTCTCTGGCCTCAAGCTTCCTGAGTAGCTGGGATTACACGCCACCACGCCCAGCTATGAATTTGAATTTTTTATACTCCACAGCACCTAGTAAAGTGCCTTGTTTAGAGAGTAGTTCCATAAATGTTAAGTAGAAACAAATAGTTACAGAATTAATTATATTTAGACCCTTATTCTCTGGGATTTAAATTTACTGCTTGAGCTCATAAAATAGAGCATTTCACTTTTGGGCTGACTTGACTTAGAATTTAAACGGGGACTCCATTCTGCATTTTTACTGCTATAGCCCCTTGTGGACTAAAGTTTGTCAGACTGTTCCTTTGGAGTATAGCTGCATCTGAGACTTGTCTTATTTATTTATTTATTTTTTGAGTCGGAGTCTTACTCTGTTGCCTAGGCTGGAGTGCAGTGGCGTGGTCTCAGCTCACTGCAACCTCTGCCTCCTGAGTTCAAGCAATTCTCCCGCCTCAGCCTCCCGAGTAGCTGGGATTACAGGCACCTGCCACCACTCCCAGCTAGTTTCTTTATTTTTAGTAAAGACAGGGTTTCACCGTGTTGGCCAGTCTCGTCTCGAACTCCTGACCTCGTGATCCACCTGCCGCAGCCTCCAAAAGTGCTGAGATTACAGGTGTGAGCCAGTGCACCTGGCTGCATCTGAGACTTTTAATAATGGAAGAAACATTTACATTTAGTCAAAACTAGCTTTGAGTAGCTAACAGGCAAATAACTGAAAAACTGTCGCTTTTCCCTAGGGGTCCGATGTAGAAATGGTGAATTCTGTGACAGCCACTGACAGCTGTGAGCCCACCCAAGAATGTTCATCTTTAGAGCAAGGGGAGCAGATAGAGCAGGGAGGTAAGTATTTCACAAATTCTGATTTTTTAAAAAAATAGGATACATGAGTGATACTATGAATCTTGCCTTCTTTCCAGGTGGGTGGCCTTTCTGGCTGATCTTTTATTGATCGATTGGTTGAGATAGACTTTCGATCTTGTTGCCCAGGCTAGAGTGCAGTGGCATAATCTTGGCTCACCACACCCTCTGTCTCCCAGTTCAAGTGATACTCCTGCCTCAGCCTCCTGATTAGCTGGGTTTACAGTCATGTGCCACCATGCCCAGCTATTTTTGTCTTTTTAATAAAGACGGGGTTTCTCCATGTTGGTCAGGCTGGTCTTAAACATCCGACCTAAGTTGATCCACCCACCTTGGCCTCCCAAAGAGTTGAGATTGCAGGTGCAAGCCACTGCGCTTGGCCTCTTTCTGGCTAATCTAAGTGGTCATTGAAGGATTAAATTTCAGTGTAGGCCGGGTACAGTGGCTCATGCCTGTAGTCCAGCACTTTGGGAGGCCAAAGTGGGCAGATCTTTTGAGGTCAGGAGTTCAGGACGAGCTTGGCCAACATGGTAAAACCCACCTCTACTAAAAATACAAAAAATTAGCTGGGCGTGGTGGTAGGTACCTGTAATCCCAGCTACTCCAGGAGGCTGAGGCAGGAGAATCGATTGAACCTGGGAGGCAGGGTTGCAGTGAGTCAAGATCATGCCACTGCCCTCCAGCCTGGGTGACAGAGCAAGACTCCATTTCAAAAAAAAAAGCAAAACTTCAATGTGGATTTAGTGAAGGTCCACAGAACCCAGAGTCACCAGCCTACCTTAGGGGTTTGTTTATTTGCAGCTGTAATATATTTTTGGGCTTTCAGATACACTTTGTTGCTACAGATGTACCAGTGACAAAATAAGTGTTTTGTGATTTAATGTGAATTTGTTTGGTAGTTTCTATTAATTTGTCATTTGTTTGGTAGTTTTTATTTACTTGTCATTATTAAAGTTAAGAAAAAAAATAACTCATTTATCGCAAGAGATTTACGAATCTCTTCTCCAGTTATTATGTTACAGAGTTGCAGACATACCTCTCTCTCATTTTATTCTGCTTTGCTTTATTGTACTGCACAGATACTGTGAAATTTTTTACAAATTGAAAGTTTGTGGCAACCCTGTGTTTAGTAAGTCTATTAATGCCATTTTCCAACAGCGTGTGCACATTTCATGTCTCTGTCACATTTTCGTAATTGTAATATTTCATTTATTTTTATTTTTTTAATTTTTTAAAAATAGAGATGGGAGTTTACCATGTTGGTTGGGCTGGTCTTGAACTCCTCATCTCAGATGATCTACCCGCCTGGACCTCCCAAAGTGCTGAGTTTACAGGCGTGAGCCACCGCGCCTGGCCTATTTTATTGTATTTTATTGAATTGATGGAGTTTTGCTCTTGTTGTTCAGGCTGGAGTGCAGTGGCATGATCTTGGGTCACTGCAACCTCCACCTCCCAGGTTCAGGCGATTCTCCTGCCTCAGCATCCCAAGTAGCTGGCATTATAGGAATGCATAATGCACCCAGCTAATATTGTATTTTTAGTAGAGACGGGGTTTCACCATATTGGTTAGGCTGGTCCCAAACTCCTGACCTCCGATGATCCACCTGCGTTGGCCTCCCAAAGTGCTGGAATTACAGGCATGAACTACTCTGCCTGTCTGTAATTGTCATATTTCAAACTTTTTCATTATTATTATATCTGTTATTATGATTATTATGATCTGTGATCAGTGATTTTTGATGTTACTATTGTAATTCCATTGACACCATGAACCATGCCTGTGAAAGACAGTGAACTTAATAAATGTGTGTGTTCTGACTGCTCTACTCCCTCTGCCTCTTATTGGGCCTCCCTGTTCCTGGAGACACAACAATATTGAAATCAGGCCAATTAATAACCCTACAGTGACCTCTAAGTGTTCAGGTGAAAGGAAGAGTTGCATGTCTCTCACTTCAAATCAAAAGCTACAAATTATTAAGCTTATTTGAGGAAGGCATGTCAAAAGCTAAGTTGAAAGCTATGTGTCTTGGGCCAGATAGTTAGCCAAGTTGTGATTGCAAAGGAGAAGTTCTGTAAGAAATTAAAAGTCCTTCTTAGTGAACACATGAACAATAAGGAAGCCATGTAGTCTTATTGTTGACATGGAGAAAGTTTAATGGTCTTGGTAGAAGATGGAACTAGCCATAAAATTCCCTTAAGCTACGGCCTAATCCAGAACAAAGTCCTTCCTAACTCTCTTCAGGTCTATGAAGGCTGAAAGTGGTTAAGAAGCCGTAGGAAAAAAGGCTGAAGCTAGCTGAGGTTGGTTCATGAGGTTTAAGGAAAGAAACTATGTCCATAACATAAAAGTGCAAGGTGAAGCAGCAAGTGCTAATGGAGAAGGTGCACCAAGTTATCCAGGATATCTACCTGAGATCATGGATGAACATGGCTACACTAAACAGCAGATTTTCAGTGTAGGTGAAACAGCCTTCTCTTGGAACAAGATGCCATCTAAGACATTCCTAGCTAGAGAGAAGTCAATATCTGGCTTCTAGGCTTCAAAGAACAAGCTCACTTTCTTGTTAGAGGCAAATGTAGCTGGTGACTTTAAGTTGAAGCCAGTATTCACTTACCCTGCCTTAAGAAATCCTAGAGCCTTTCAAAAACATGTTTCATCAACTCTGCCTGTGCTCTGTAAATGGAACAACAAAGCCTAGGTGATAGCCATGTGTTTACAATATGGTTTACTGAATATTTTAAGCTCATTGTTGTGACCTCCTGTTCAGAATAAAAGTATTTCAGAATACTACCAAGTATACCTGGTCAGCCACCCATGGGCTCTGATGGAGATTTACAAGTAGGTTCATCTTGCTTTGTTTCCTGCCAACACAACATCCAGTCTGTAGCCCATGGATCAAAGAATCATTTTGACTTTCAGGTTGTATTATTTAATAAGGAAATTTTGTAAGGCTGGAGCTGCTATAGATAGTGATTGCTCTGATGGATCTGGGCAATGTGTGTAAGTTGAAAATCTTCAGGAAAGGATTCACCATTCTAGATGCCATTAAGAACAATTGTGATTTGTGGGAAAAGATCAAAATAGCAGCATTAACAGGAGTTGGGAAGAAGTTGATTTCAACCCTCATAACTTTGAGTGGTTCAAGACTTTAATGGAGGAAGGAACTGCAGATGTCTTAGAAGCAGCAAGAGAATTGGAATTAGAAGTGGAGCCTGAAAATGTGATCCAATTGCTGTAATCTCATGATAAACTTGAACAGATGAGGAGTTGCTTCTTATGGATGAGCAAAGAAAGTAGTTTCTTGAGATGCAATCTACTCTTCGTAAAGATGCTGTGAATATTGTTGAAATGACAACAAAGGATTTAGAATATTACATAAAACTTAGCTGATAAAGCAGTGGCAGGGTTTGAGAAGATTGATTGGTTTTGAAAGTTGTTCTGCATGGGCAAAGTACTATCAAACAGCACTGCATGCTACAGAAAAATCTTTCATGAAAGGAAGAGTCAATCCATGTGGGAAATTTCAGTGTTGTCTTACTTTAAGAAATTGCCCCAGCTGCTCTAGCCTTTAGCAGCTATCACAGTGGTCAGTCAGCAGCCATCACCTTTGACAAAAATATTACAGTTCACTGAAGGCTCAGATGATTGTTAGCACTTTTTAGCAATAATGTATTTTTTAATTAATATATGTGTGGTTTTTAGACATAATGTTGTTACACATTTAATAGATTATAGTATAAACATAACTTTTACATGCACAGGGAGACCAAAAAATTTGTGTGACTTGCTTTATTGCGTTGGTTTGGAACGGAACTTGCAGTATCTCTCAGATATATGTGTATTCTCGTTCCAGTTCGGTAAAATGGAATTTGACTACTGTATTGCATCTGTGTTATGTATACTTCCCATGGGATTTGATTTCATTTACTTTTTAAAAAAAATTGCAGTAAAAAGCATATAGAACATTTACCCCTCAGGAGAATAAAGTAGATGTGTCAGGGCAAGAAATAGAAGAGATTGTACCTGTTAACTTTTTTAAGCCTGCATATTGATTACTACTCTCATTTGAGAAGTGATTTTCTAAAAAAAAAAAAAAAAAAAAAAAAAAAAAAAAAAAAAAAAAGAAAAAAAATTCAAGGAAGAGATGTTAAAAAAAAAAAGGTGATTCTCATCTTTTTTGTGTCAGAAATCCTTTTGAGAATCTGAGTGGACAATTTCTTCCAAGATACGCATTTATTTGCATATGTTGAAGAACAGTTTCTTTACTTCTTTGGGAGTCCTTGGACACGAGCCAAGTGCTGTGGAGCAATCTTATCTCTAAATTAAATTACTTTTCTGTTAGGGGCTATTTAACATTGAAAAATGTTTTTTTTCCACTTGTTCTTTGCAGGAGTTAAATTACATAAGAAATGCATGTTCATGATAGGGAAAAAAATAATAGTAAGCAAAATCAATTTAAAATGGCCTGTAATTTTTTTTATCTAGAAATAACTTCTGTTGATATTTGGTATACTTTGCTCATAAATTTATATTTAATTTTTAACTTAGTATTTTATGTTCTTTTTCATTAAAAATATATTGTGAATTCATTTTGTTTGTACACATTTTCTTTGAGGAGATTCTTATATCTCCCATACTGACATTTAGTTTTTCCGTGTTTTGAGTTCTTTCTTTTTAAAAAAAATGATTGGCAGAAATGGTCTCTCTATTTTGCGCAGACTGGTCTTGAACTCCTGGCCTTAAGTGATTTTACCACAATGGCCTACCAAAGTGCTGGGATTACAAGCATGAGCCACTGTGCCTGGACTTCCTCTCTCCAACTTTTTTTTGAGACATGGTCACACTCTCTTGCCCAGGCTGGAGTGCAGTGGCGTGATCATGGCTTACTGCAGCCTCAACTCCTAGTAATCCTCCTGCCTCAGCCTTCTGAGTAGCTGAGACTCCAGGCATATACCACCATGCCCAAATAATTTTTTAATTTTTATTTTTGTAGAGACAGGGTCTTGCTATATTGCCCAGGCTGGTCTTGAACTTGTAGACTCAACCAATCCTCCAGCATTGGCCTCCCAAAAGTGCTAGGGTTACAGGTATGAGTCACTGCACCCAGGCTGAGTCCTTGTTTTTTATAGTTTGTTTCCTTGTAAAGCACTTACACACACAAACACACACGTACATGTACATATATATTTTTATAAATCATAGTTTGAAGCCATAGTTTTTATTCTTATGGTACCAGGCATTGACAACTATTAGAATGGTCTTTAGGAACTTTGAATGAACTTCTAAGAATTCAGGGAAATAAGGCCGGGCGCGGTAGCTAATGCCTGTAATCCCAGCACTTTGGGAGGCAGAGGCAGGAGGATCACTTGAGGTCAGGAGTTCAAGACCAGCTTGGCCAACATGGTGAAACCCCGTCTTTACAAAGTACAAAAAAAAGTTAGCCTGGTGTGGTGGGGGGCACCTGTAATCCCAGATGGTTGGGAGGCTGAGGTGGGAGAATTGCTTGAACCCAGGAACAGAAGTTGCAGTGAGTTGAGATCATGCCTCTGTACTCCAGCCTGGGTGACGGAGTGAGACTCCCTCTGACTTAAAAAAAAAAAAAAAAAAAAAAAAAAAAAAAAAAAAAAAAAAAAAAAAAAAAAAAAAAAAAAAAAACCTTGAATGCTTTCATTTTCATATCTAAAATTATCCTCTGACAATTTCAAATAAATGAAATTTATTAGAAACAGTGGAGTGACTTCTATATATAACAGTGGAGTATATGATATTTCATTAAATCCATTTTAGTGTATTAGGAATAGATGTTTATCTACCCAGATTATATGTTGGCTGCAGAAAGTCAACAGAGAGTTTTAAATGAAGAAATAATTATATTGATCTTCGCTTTATATCAGAAAGCAGCCAAAATGGCACAGTGTTTATGGAAGAAACTGCTTATCCAGCTTTGGAGGAAACCAGCTCAACAGCTGAGGTAAACGTGTATTTTACTCTGTAGATATTTGTCAAATAGTATCATTAGAATACTAAATAAAGCCTCTAATTCTGTTTATGCATTCTATTCCTGTTTCGAATTATAAGCAGTTTTAACTTCTGATTAAGTTAGATGTCTTAGAAGACATCTAAGTAAAGTAATTTCTTGGTATTGTGTTAAAAATCTATCTTTTCACCTCTAATATAATTTTCTTTGGAAGTAGATTGCATTCTTGAATTGTATTGAAAAATTAACCTTAGGTTTCATGTCTAAAATGGTGGTTTGTTTTAAAATTACGTAACAACCTAAGACTTGTCCTTTGGGCTTTTACTTGACTTCTGTATGAAACTAGATAGCTAGATGAACTTTTTACATGGTGTCTTAGTGTATTTGTACTGCTACGACAACATACCTGAGACTGGGTGATTTACAAAGAACAGGGCTGAGTGCGGGGGCTCACGCCTTTAATCCCAGCACTTTGGGAGGCCAAGGCGGGTGAACCACGAGATCTGGAGTTTGAGACCAGCCTGACCAACATGGTGAAACCCTGGCTCTAAAAAAAAAAATAAAAAAATTAGCTGGGCAGAGTGGTGTGCACCTGTAGTCCCAGCAGTTCGGGAGGCTGAGGCAAGGAGAATCGCTTGAACCCAGGAAGCGGAGGTTGCAGTGAGCCAAGATTGCACCACTGCACTCCAGCCTGGGTGACAGAGTAAGACTCCATCTCAAAAAAAAAAAAAAAAAACCAGAAATTATTTCTCGTAGTTAGAGGCTGGGAAGTAAGTCTAAGAACAAAGTGTGCACAAGTTCAGTGTCTGCTGATGGCGTGGTTTCTTGTTTCCAAATGGCATCTTGTTGCTACATCCTTAAAAGGGGAGGAGCGAAAAAGGCTGGATGCTGCATAAAGTCTGTTTCATAAAGGCCTTTATCGTATTCCCAGGGGAGGATCCCTTATGACTCAGTCACCTCCTAAAGGTCCCACTACTTAGTACTATCACATTGGCGATTATGTTCCAACTTAAGAACTTTTGGGGACACCTTCAGCACAAGTTACAGTGTTGAAGTTTATTACATACATAACCAGAAAAGTTCAGTGAGTCTATTTTGGGCTCCCACACTACAGAGTTGTGCTTGAATAGACCCATGGAACTTGTGAGAGAAATAAACTCTTCTTTCTGTGGTTATTGAAGAGTAAAGGTGGGCTTAGCTTCTGCAGCCCAGAAGGCAGTGGTCTGGTCTAATTCTGAGAGTTGTCAAGGGACCTGATGGTGTTTTCAAGCTCTATGATGAGCCTACTATTGCATAATCCTTTAAATGGTAGGGATAATATCTTTTATTTTAACCTCAAATTACTGCAATACTTAGTACTGTTATATTCTAAGAAAATAAAAGGCCCTTAAATAATTGTTGAATTTACTGTCTCTAAAATCATGATTCTTTAGGCAGAGGAAGAAAAGACAGCTGAAGACAGTATCTATATTGGGACTGCCAGTGATGATTCTGATATTGTTACCCTTGAGCCACCCAAGTTAGAAGAAATTGGAAGTCAAGAAGTTATCACTGTTGAAGAAGCACAGAGTTCAGAAGACTTTAACATGGGCTCTTCCTCTAGCAGCCAGTATGCATTCTGTCAGCCAGAAACTGGTAAGAATGCACTGATATGAGACTTAAATACGTGTATGACCACATTTTATATAAGGGCTTATTTTCTACCCCTAATAATTTAGTCTCTAGTTTTGAATATGTTTAGGTAAAATGCAAGACAAGACTATTTATTGTGTGTGAAATCTATTAATACCTAGTGTTTTCCTAGACTGTTCTGAAGCATAGCAATCTTTTGCTAAAACAGTAACCATCTTTTGCCATTGAATAGAAGACAAAATTTCTTCAGTGAGATTCATTAAAATCACAAATGCTCCACAATTCATTTGGTGCTTTTTAGATCTTTAACAGTGGGAGATTGGGGATATTAATATTTTTGCTTGCAATAGTATACATTTTATATTATAGAAATAGTGAAAGAAAATTCTTATTAAAGCCTCTTCAGATACATTCAGTTATTAGTTGTGCGACAGCCATTTATTGAGTACCTACCATATGCCACCAAGAGTTCACAGTGCTGTCCAAACAGCTAGTCTCCCAAAGCTGCTGACCTTCAGAGCTTTTGTTTTCGATTCTCTTATGAAAATGCCACTATTGTAAGTCACATTTTCAATGCAATCAGTGCCTACTGACAGAATCATTCAGAGATTAAAGTGAGAGTTGCTTATTTTCTTTCTACTATGCTTCAGTTCAGTTTTAGCAGTGTGTATAATTTCTTTCAATGTGATAAAATATGTAGATACAAAGTTCCTGGCAAATTCTATGAGACACAAACCTGTAATTCACTGTTATTAACCCAGAATTATAACTAATAATTGTTAATAGTTATGGCAGAGACAACTTGGAACACTGCTAGTGATTCTAAAAATTTATTTTAATGATTCTAATCTGACAGAAAAACAGGAAACATGTAGTATCTATTTTAGATAATTTTCTTTGATTTTACTATTCTTTAATATTTACATTTCCCAACCAGAATCAGACAATAGAATTTTTGTCATTCCAGTTTAATCTGATAAAATGTGAAGTAGAGATTCTTGGCTGGGCATGGTGGGTCACGCCAGTAATTCTAGCACTTCATGAGGCTGAGGCAGGTGGATTACCTAAACCCAGGAGTTCGAGACCAGTCTGGGCAGCATATAGCGAGACCTGATCTCTACAAATAATAAAAAAGCCAGGCATGATGGCGTGTGCCTGTGGTCCCAGCCACTTGGGAGGCTGAGGTGGGCGGAGGTTGAGGCTAGAGTGAAGCTGAGATTGCGCCACTGCACTCCAGCCTGGGCGACAGAGCAGGACCTTGTCTCAAAAACATAAAGAAATGGAGATTCTTGGCTGTCTCATTTAATGAGAAGTTATTTTCAGTTAGTATATCAGTAGTTTGCCTATAAACATGAACTTGAAAACACTTTGTCCAGCTATTTAAATATTCATCTGATATTCTTGGTTGTCAGAGGAAAACTTCAGCCTTTGTTAGAATAGTATTCATAGTATAATTGTGTATGGAGGAGTATTATAACTGATTGTAGAATCCTTGTTCCTTGTCAAAGTTTATTATTTTTTTAAACTCTAGGATTTGTGTTGGATTCAGGTAGTCTTTCTTTTTTTTCCTCCCTTCCTGTCCTACCTCTGGTTTAATTTGAGAATATTAATGGTCCAGAAAAGTCAAATTGAAGCCGGAGTATTGCAGAATGGTCAGATATTTAAGAAACTGACATAGACATAAATGAAATTACATATTGTTGCCAGGCTTGTTGGCTTACACCTATAATCCCAGCACCATGTCAAAAAAATAAATAAATAAATTACATGTTAACTTTTTTTTTTTT